CCCCCCCCCCCCCCAACCCGACAGTTTTGCGTAGGGCCCCCATAAGTCTAGGATCGGCACTGAGTGAAGCCATACTGAGTGCACTGTTGAAACACCATCAAATGCGCATTGTTAACATGCACAAGATCACCATCATTTTGCTTACCCACCTGATCACCATCTTGATTGGTTGTAGGTGGGTTTCCCTGCTGGTGTCGTCAACATTGTCCCAGGAATGGGTCCCACAGCAGGGGCAGCCATCGCATCTCACATGGATGTGGACAAAGTAGCGTTCACTGGCTCCACTGAGGTAAGAGGATTTTCTTCAGTAATGGATATTTCTTGGATAAGTACAGTACTGTGCAAAAAGTCTTCTTTCAGCACTACAGAAATTATACTTAACCCAGTTAACAAATTTCTGTCAGCATGGGCCATTCCATATGTTGTAGATCTCGCTGCTTTATTACGATATTTGCAAACTTGTCTAGAAATTTAAAATGTGCGCACTAAAGTAAAATATATAAATAAAACAAATGGTTTTTTGAATCATCTACTGTGTCTGAGACTTTTGTACCATGATTTATGCACTTTTTAGTCAGAATGCCCATCTTGGTGAGGATGGTTTACCCAAAAATGTGATTATTTTGTTATTATTTGCTCACTGTCATAATAAATGTCAGCAGGTGGGAAAAATCTGATTTGTTTAAAAAATCTTGGGTCTGTATGGTGTAAATGCAGCCGAAACATTTTTTTTTATTTTAATTTTTTTAAAGTTATATTTATGGGGTTTTTATGCCTTTAATGTGAAGCGTGGGCCATTCCATATGTTGTAGATCTCGCTGCTTTATTACGATATTTGCAAACTTGTCTAGAAATGTAAAATGTGCGCACTAAAGTAAAATATATAAATAAAACAAATGGTTTTTTGAATCATCTACTGTGTCTGAGACTTTTGTACCATGATTTATGCACTTTTTAGTCAGAATGCCCATCTTGGTGAGGATGGTTTACCCAAAAATGTGATTATTTTGTTATTATTTGCTCACTGTCATGTCGTTCCAAACCCAAAATCGTGGAAGAAACACCACTTTCAGTGGAGGGACAGAAAACTCTTAGGTTTCATTAAAAATATCTTCATTTATGTTTGAAAAATGAAGCAAGGTCTTTTGGGTTTGGAACGACATGATGACAGAATATTTTTTGGGTGGACTATCCCTTTAATGTCAGTTATGACTTAATAAATAATAAATGTCAGCAGGTGGGAAAAATCTGATTTGTTTAAAAAATCTTGGGTCTGTATGGTGTAAATGCAGCCTAAACATTTTTTTTTTTTTTTTTTTATTTTAAGTTATATTTATGGGGTTTTTATGCCTTTAATGTGAGAGGACAGTGGAGAGCTGACAGGAAAGCATTGGGTGGAGAGAGGGGAGCAGGATCGGCAAAGGACCTCGAGGCAGGAATCGAACTCAGGTTGCCGTGAGCACAGTTGCGCTATATGTCGACGAACTAAACACAAGGCTATCGGCACCGCCAATTTATTCGTATTGAGCTAATCTAAGAATCTAATCATTTTCATTTCAAAATAAAACTTAACATTTTATTTAATTTATATAAAAAAAAAATCCTCAGGCACATTTATAAAAGCTACTTAAATGTCCTGATTGAAGTATGGAATAATCCTGGCTTAATTTAAGCCCTGTATATGAAACCAGACCTATTTGTAATGCTTAATTTTAATAATGAAATAAACAAGTGTGCTCATTAGCATATTAGCTGCTACTGAATATTGCTGTGGTAGCAAAGATGGTATTGAGTATTTGGTAGGTCAGCATACCTAGGCTTTTATATTATATTTGCAATTTACAGTAAATTTGTTTTGTTTACTGGAGTGTCTTACTGTGGTTTTACAGGTGGGTCACCTCATCATGAAAGCCTCAAGTACCAGCAATCTGAAGAAGGTCACACTGGAGCTGGGAGGAAAGAGTCCAAACATCGTTCTATCAGATGCTAATAGTGAGTTCATATTTATCCTGACCCCTGCTGCATTTTATTCGATTATTGGTGTTTTATATTTATATGGCAAATCAAACGGGTCATGATATTTTATTATTTTCCTTGAGGTCCACCTATAATGTTGTATCATTTTAGTAAAGTTTTTACAGATGTTATTATTTAATAGTACATAACCATTTCCACCCTGCCTCTATCTATCTAGATAAAACGCTCTGTTTTTAAAGACTTAATGACGCAAACTTCTTTGAGCTTAAAGGCAGTGCTGGCCTGCCCCACAGGCTATACAGGTGGCCTGAGGGGAGATATACATGTAACTGCTGAATAAACATTCTTTGTTCGCCATTGTCAAAATGCAGTCAGCACACTGGCGACACAGTTTACAAACAAACAAACAGACATGCAAGGACCTCATCCTTCAACACACAAACCACACTGATGGTGACAACCACAAATATAGCTTTCCATCACCAAACAACTGAAAAATAACTTCAATCACCAAGCATCAGTATAAACACATACAGTGAAATAATTAAAGTATCTGCATAATTTATTCATGTCGCGTTGCATTGCTTGTATATAGAGTACTGTATTGTCCACCAATTTCAAACCTTTTTAGAAGTGCTGAAGTTGTCGGAAATGCACAAAATAGGTCACAGAAATTATTTTTTGTGTGTGTTTAAAGCTAATTTGGATAGCAGAAACTGCAGATCTGTTGCCAACGGCTTGTCACATTTTCTCTTGGCAATGAATTCAAAAAAAATTTAAGGGGGTCTGAATAATTTCTGTACCCACTGTATGTGTGTGTGTGTGTGTATATATATATACACACACACTACCGTTCAAAAGTTTGGGAACAGAACTATTTTTATTGTTTTTTAAAGGAGTTTCTTATGCTCATCAAGGCTGCATTTATTTGATCAAAAATACAGGAAAAAAATTAATATTGTGAAAAATTATTATGATGTAAAATAACGTTTTTCTATTTTAATATACACTGCCGTTCAAAAGTTTAGGATCAGTGAGACTTGTAATACTTTTTTCAGGATTCTTTGATGAATAAAAAGGTAAAAAGAACAGCATTTATTCAAAATATAAATCTTTTCTACAAAATAAATTTGCTATCACTTCTTAACAATTTAACACATCCTTGCTGAATAAAAGTTTTAATTTCTTTCAAAATAAGAAACAATAAAAATGTACTGACCCCAAACTTTTGAACGGTAGTGTATATTGTTAGAAAAGATTTCTATTTTAAATAAATGCTCTTCTTTTTAACTTTTTTATTCATCAAAGAATCCTGAAAAAAATATCAATTCAATTAAATTTCCAAAGGTTCCAAAAATATATTAAGCAGCAAACAGTTTCTAGCACTGATAATAAATCTGAATATTAGAATGATTTCTGAAGGATCATGTGACACTGAAGACTGGAGTAATGATGCTGAAAATTCAGCTTTGATCACAGGAATAAATTAGATTTAGGATTTTTATATTGTCATAACATTTTGCAAGATTACGGTTTTTTTTTCTGTTTTTTTGATCAAATAAATGCAGCCTTGATGAGCATAAGAGACTTCTTTAAAAAACATTACAAGTCTTACTGATCCCACACTTTTGAACGGTAGCTTGTATATATATATATATATATATATATCTCAGAGGCATTTCCTCCAAGGAGGCAAAGGAGGCAGTGTCTCCTAAGGAGGCAGAGTAAAATTTGTAGTACAAAAATAAAACAACACCAGTATTACAAAATATAACATTAAAAAGTGTATAAATCACTCGGTTTTCTAAAAAAAAACATTGTCCAACAGCAACACCAGCAGGTAAAGTTACAGCGGGAGTCCACGTCTTTCTCGCCTCCCCTGAGCCCATTGAGTTTTAACAGACCCCCTAAAGTGTGCAGTGAGTTTGGTGGGGAGTAATTGAGAATGAATGGGGGAAAGTCACGTGAGATATGATTCGATATGACTGGTTATGGTCGGCTGTGGTTCATGCGATAAATCCCGCCGCCTCTTGAGGACTTTGCCTCCTCATTTCAGTACACCACTGCACAGAGTTGATTTATTCACCTTCACATCGTCCCAAACCTGTATGGCTTTCTTAGAAACAGTAGAACACAAAAGAAGATATTTAGAAAAATGTTCAGCTGTTTTTGCCAATAAAATCTGTATGGTCCAAAACAATGCTGGACACCAGTCACTTTCATTTTATGGACAAAAAACACTAAGACCTTTTTCTAAATACCTTAATTTGTGTTCCACAGAAGTAAGAAAGTCATATAGGTTTGGAATGGTAAAATGTAAAAAATAGAAGTAAAATTTGATTCCTCATATCATGATGACCCTTTTAACAGTAAATAAGTATGCTGATCATTCTAATGAAAGTATATTTGTGTTTGCAGTGGAGGAGGCAGTGGAGCAGTCCCATTTTGCCCTGTTCTTCAACCAAGGCCAGTGCTGTTGTGCAGGATCTCGCACGTATGTACAGGAGAGCATCTATGATGAGTTTGTTGAGCGAAGCGTAGCGAGAGCTAAGAAGAGGATTGTAGGAGATCCCTTTAACTTAGACACGGAGCAGGGCCCCCAGGTACAGTTCAGCCATAAATCTATAAAGCTTATATATAAAGGTACATGTGTGCTTTTGTAAGGACATCCTGTTGACTTCTTTTGCTCTTCTAAGAACATACATGTAACTAATTTATGAAGCCCTCGGTCAGCATAGTGCTCTGGTAATGCATCCGTTATTATTTCCTCTCTTTGCTGAAGGTGGATGAGGAACAGTTCCAGAAGATTCTTGGCTACATCAGCAGTGGGAAGCGTGAGGGCGCTAAGCTCATGTGCGGCGGCGGACCGGCAGCTGACCGCGGCTACTTCATCCAGCCTACTATCTTCGGCGATGTTAAAGATGACATGACAATTGCTCGGGAGGAGGTGTGTGTACTTTAATTAACACATGACTAAGGAAAAGGCCTTTCCATTCACTTCATAATCAACTTTTGAGCTCTCACTAAACGTCTAGATGAGATCTAGTAGGTTTCCATTCATCTTGCTTTCCATAAGCTTCCAGATATGTTTATTTAATATTTCCTGCATTAATAATCAGTCTTAACTAAATGATTAGTATTAATGACAATGAATAAATATTAACATAAATAATTAGTGTTAACTAAACACATTTTGTGATTGGTAAATAACTGGATTGGTTGAGATTAGGAAATTAATATATATATATTTTTTTCCCATTTTCATTTTAGTTTTGTTTTATGTCTTAGTTGTCTATAAAATTTTCATAAATTTGTATGTCCGTTAAATAAGTATAACATTTTTAAAAATATTTATTTTATTTTATATAACTTAACATTTATTTTATTTCAAATAAAAATATATATTTTTATAACTGGATTGTTGAGATTAGGAAATTTGTATTTGTTTGTTAGTTTTTTGGGGGATTTTCCATTTTAATTTTGTTGTATGTCTTTTAGTTGTCTATAAAGTTTTTTTTTTAATTAATTTTTATGTCAGTTAAATAAGTTTAAAGTTTTTTTTTTTAAATATTTTTATTTTATTTCAATTAACATTTATTTTATTTCAAATAACAAAAATATATATTTTTAGGGTTTTAGTTTTAGTAAACTATAATAACCCTGCTTCCAAATCTATACAAGTTTCGCTCATCTTCAGAACACAAATAGAGATGTGTTTTCTCTTATTTCTGTCCTATCTTTTGAAAATTTCATAAAGACATTGTAAACATAATCTATATGAATCAAGCAATTCAGTCCAAGTCTTCTGAAGATGTGATAACTTTGATTAACAGATTTTATTTAGGCTTTTATTCACTTAACGCCAAATATGGTAATTAAGGGTTTTAGTTTTAGTAAACTATAATAACCCTGCTTCCAAATCTATACAAGTTTCGCTCATCTTCAGAACACAAATAGAGATGTGTTTTCTCTTATTTCTGTCCATCTTTTGAAAATTTCATAAAGACATTGTAAACATAATCTATATGAATCAAGCAATTCAGTCCAAGTCTTCTGAAGATGTGATAACTTTGATTAACAGATTTTATTTAGGCTTTTATTCACTTAACGCCAAATATGGTAATTCATTTTGATAACAGGAAGAGGAATTTAATGGATTGCTATGCAAAGAATTATTATTGTTTTTTTCAGATTGTATTAATATTGCACACATACATACTTCATCAAATGCTGTACAAACTTGACGTTACACAAATTCAGACGTAGCATCACTTAACCAGATATGTAGGGAAGATCACCAATCACATCTCACCACAAATCACAATATAACCATAATAATATGATTATTTTTAGTCTTTTCTTTCAGATTTACCTCAAAGGAGCTACTGTATATCTGCCATTATACATACACATTTTAACTTGCCATAATATAATAATATGGCTCAATTTATGCCATTATGTACACAGGGAGGTGAATAGATGCATTTCTATTTAGATTTGATCTACTCATTCCATTTTGCTGTAAGAATTTCTTCCAGTAAAATTATATAACATGCTATTCCTTTTTAATACTATCAGATCTTTGGACCTGTGATGCAAATTCTGAAGTTTAAATCTTTAGAGGAAGTGATTGAGAGAGCCAATGACAGCAAATACGGCCTTGCAGCTGCTGTTTTTACCAAAAACATTGATAAGGCCCATTACATATCCCACGGCCTGCGCGCTGGCACTGTGTGGTGAGCATGCGATATGCTTCATTATTTGAAAGGAATTGCATATCTTGGATATTGGTATATCAGACACCTTTGCTGTTTTCTGAAATGTGGTTTGTACTTGTCATATTCTTTTCTTAGGATTAACTGTTATGACGTGTTCGGAGTTCAGGCTCCATTTGGAGGATACAAGGCCTCAGGAATTGGTCGTGAGTTAGGAGAGTACGGACTGGACAACTACACAGAGGTCAAAACGGTAAGCTTTTGCTATCAGATATATAAAAGTGCACTCATTATTCATAATTCACTCTTTATTGTAAACTATAAATGTTACACTTGTATCTGTCTTATAATCTCCATTTGCCCAAATTGATTTCCCACAGTGATTGGTTACTGTAAAGTTGCTTATTTCAAATTAGAAGATGCCAAGTAGATTAAGCTATATTTTTTTATTTTATAAGTTTTAATATATTTATTTATTTGTTTATGAAGTGTTTTAGATCTATTTTTAATCAGAAATCTCTATATTGCAGCTCATTAATTCTGTCATTTATCATTTACTAAATCTTTTCCTCCACAGGTTACAATTAAGGTCCCTCAGAAAAATTCGTAAATGGATGAATTAATTTAAGGAAGCCATTTCCTAATTATAAGAGCCATGCCAGCCATTATTAAAATGTACTATGATTACTATGAATCTCATGCATTAGCATAATTAATGTGTTGATTTCTACTGAAAAATAATAAGCGTTTAGTATAAATTTTGTTTTGGCAGTGATGATTAGTTAGTCACGTACTGTATAGTTGATTTTACAAAAGATATTGCTTGATTATCCACCACCAGACAAAAGGAGGGAAAATGTGTATTGGGCTGACTTCATTCTGTTTAATTCAAGCATTATATAGACCGCATAATCACTACAATTATTTGCATGCATGTGCTGATTTGTGAAATGAATGCTTCAGATTTTTGGTTTTATTCATTTGTTCATTTTTATTAATTCATTCATTTCTTCTCACTTTGCATAAATATTTATCCTTTTCTGATTAAACCTTTTTGTAATAATATACAGACAAAAATAAATGGATCAAACATATTTGTTTGATATGATTGCCCACTTGAAAAATTATTTTGTATATTGATTGTTATAGTGCATGTGCATATTTCTCAGTTTTTCGGTTTTATATTTCTAAAGTGGCTAACAATGTGTTTGTAAACCATATATATCAGCCTATTTGTGACCGTAAATATGTAAATATTCTAGGTCGACTCTGTAGTGGATAAGCAGGGATAGAATGTAAAAGAGAAAATGAAAAAAAGTACTAATTCTGTTACATTTTACAGCGCTTACACATTTATTCATATTTTATATTTGATTTACTTTTTACATATTCTAGACAGTGTTTGACTTCTTTCCTTCATCACCAATAACACACTACTCTGTTATCTCTTACCAAAAAGTAAAAATTTTTATATGTGGCCAATGATAATATCCAAAGGCGTAAAAACTTCGTTCATCTTCGGAACACAATTTAAGATATTTTGGATGAAAACCGGGAGGCTTGTGACTGTCCCATTGACTGCCAAGTAAATTACACTGTCAAGGTCCAGAAAAGTATGAAAGACATCATCAGAATAGTCCATCTGCCATCAGTGGTTCAATCTGAATTTTATGAAGCAATGAGAATACTTTTTGTACGCGAAGAAAACAAAAATAAAAAAGAGAAATACACTTTGAGAGAAGCAGTCTTTATCAGCAGAAGTTAAAAGCAGCTCGTAAGTGTATTTACTGTCTCATTAGTGTTTAGTGCCGTTGTCGTTGCTAGGAAACGCTTGTTTTGTTTACTGTGTGGAGACGTGCTGAAATCGCGTTTGGTCTCGTTCTGTATCGCGTATCTTGTCAGTGTCTGCGCTTGCTTGGCCATTTGTTGTGGAAAAAATAAGGAAAGTGTGTCCAGCTGAATTAATTTAGTATTTTGTTAGACAGGTATAAAAAAGCTTAGTTTACCGCGGCAGCCGTCGAGTGACGGCCTCCTCGTGTGAAGACCATCGACTCTACCGTGCGACTCCACCGGGCAGGAAAGGATACGTATCGCTTTTTATTTCTCCTCTTTCCTACTACTTGTTTCACTTCTGTTTCAGTTTTTATAACCATTTCTTACTACGTGTAAGTTGTTGTTGTTGTAATGTAGTTGTTTTTTGGTGTTTGGCTTAGTGTTATGTTAGAATCATTATTATAGTCTTAAACCTTTTGTTCTTTAATATTTTGAATTGTTTTTAGCTTTATTTTTTGTTTTTCATTTAAATGTTAAGTTTTGAAATTTTATTGTGTGCATTTGTCATTTTTATTTAATTTATTTTTTATATGTGTATAAGTAGTATTTATAAAGTTTTAGCTTTTAGTTTTGGATCTGTTTTAATACTACAATCGATTGCTTCTGTTGTCCTCATTTGGAAGTCGCTTTGGATAAAAGCGTCTGCTAAATGACTAAATAAATAAAAAAAGAACGACTTTATTCAACAATTCGTCTCCTCTGTGTTCTCTCCATTTTGGAGAGTATCCACTAAACGCAAGCAGCGTACGCTCTTCTGTGTCAGCCGTGCTACACGGATACGCTGTTTTCGTTCAAATCGAAGCATAAATACACGTAGAAAACGTATCCTTGTGTCGCGGCTGACAGAATAGCATATGCTGCTTGCGTTCAGTGGATATTCTCCAAAATGGCGCTACGGTAATGCGGAGAGACACAGAGGAGACGAATTGATGAATAAAGTCGTTATTTTTGTTTTCTTCGCGTACAAAAAGTATTCTCACCGCTTCATAAAATTCAGATTGAACCACTGATGGCAGATGGACTATTGTGACGATGTCTTTCATACTTTTCTGGACCTTGACAGTGTAATTTACTTGGCAGTCAATGGGACAGTCACAAGCCTCCCGGTTTTCATCCAAAATATCTTAAATTGTGTTCCGAAGACGAATGAAGCTTTTACAGGTTTGGAACGACATGGGGGTAAGTGATTAATGACACAATTTTCATTTTGGGGTGGAGTATCCCTTTAAATCAACATATGTACTTGAAAATGAAGGAATGAAGTCACAAAATAAAACAAACCGCATCTGTCAGAGGGTATGAAAATGTGTTTTCCCTTTGAATTCAAAGGTTGATTTTTCTGAGCCCATTGGCAGATACCTGTTTATGCTCAAGTCATAAATTTACTTGATGTGTTTCTCATAAAACAAGACTTTTACATTGTTTCATTTTGCTCAAGTAAATGTATGTCGATTAAAGAATCTTTAGACATTTGAATAGACAAAAATACTGATGAAGAACATCACATTTTTTCTGCAGTGTGATAAGAAGGTAAGTTACAGTCAAAGTTATTTCCGTGTGTAATGTCTTTGTGAATCTCTGCACTTATTTGTGGATCAAAATCTGTAATAATAACCTCATACTACTATGGCGAAGACACGACACAAGGCGACCGCTCGGATTATAATTATTACATTTCTAACAGAAAATCATATGAATCGCCTTTAAATACGAAACGACTCGAGACGAGACACAAACCCCCCATTATTTTCAGTGAGGGTCGGTCTGACTGAGCTCCTCTGCATTAGGTGGCGGAATGCGCTCGCAGAATGTGGCGTATAATAAAGAAGGACAATCTTCCCCAGCTTCGGATCAAATGTAGCGCTAGCACCTTAGCAAACAACCCCAGGATAGTATTTGGTTTCTATGGTGCTTTTCAAAACTGTTAATCGCTTAACGCTGGATAGGCGAGCGAGAATCGTAGAATCAAAGAGGTCGTGCGCGCATGAAATGCGATGAGCGCGAGAATTAGCATCTGCTGTGAACGCGAGCTTCAGAGCTAACGTAACGGCTGCTGCTGCTGATAACGGGCAGCCGACCAGGAATTGCCGCTTTTATTGTCGGGTTTGTTACTCTCGTGTCAAGAACAGCGTAGCGCAGTTAGCAAATAGTGGCTGGAGGAACAGTAACGTAAACCAGGGCTAGTCTGCGCTACTTTTGCCTGTGAAATGCGTGCGTAAGATGTTAGCCGAGCACGTATAGCCTCAGAAACTCGCGTCTTTATTGCTTTCCTACGGTCTTGTGGAGTTTGACAGTGTGTTGCATTAAATGCCAGTTACGCATTCATCAAGGAAAGGCGCTGTTCCAAAGTTCATCGGACAGCATGGAAATTGTACATAAGAAGGCATCTTAGCGCGTAGACCTCGTCCCACGCCAAGATTTAGGTAAGATCGCACCTGTACGAGCCTGTTGACGCCAGAGAGTGAAGAGCAGTGAGTGCCACAGTCAGCGTCATGTCTGAGGACACCAGCGTGGACAGATTCATAAAGGTAAGGCTGCTAAATAATAAGCTAAAGTCTGTAGTTATGTCTTTGCATTTTGGTAACGTAACTTCTTATAACATCATTTCCATTAAGTTACCTCAGAAACGCTTTGCGGTAGTGAACTGCAGTCTGTACATTATCATGATTGTCAGTCACATGACTGCTAATCCGGAAAAAATAGAAATGAAATCAATTTGGGTTGAAAATCTTATATATGCATATTATCTTAAAGTTCCCACTACATAAAGACCATTTCAGTTAACAAAACAGTTGACCTAATAACAGTCGAACACTGTGTTCTGATATTACAGTATTTTTAATAATGAGGTCATCTTAGGTCATTTTCACTACAGTATATAGCTAAGACGCGCGGTGGCGCTATTTGTGATATGAAATACATAGTTTTTAATGATTTTAGAATATGTAGCAAATAAAGAACTAGTGCAAATATACCAGAATTTGCAACATTATAATAAGTAGCATGAACATCTGTAACAAGAACAAAGTGTTACAGAAAAAGCTAATCACGAGTCTTGTCTGTTACAACTAAACAACAACAAAAACATTACAATTAAAATATATTAAAATGTCCTGGCTCTTCCAAGCTTTATACTAGCAGTGAATGGGGTTTCCATACATGTGTCCATACATCATAAAAAGTGCTCCACACAAGGGGTTAATAAAGGCCTTCTAAAGTGAATCAATGCGTTTGTGTAAGAAGAATATCCTTATTTAAAACTTTATAAACTATATTCTCTAGCTTCTGCAAACTGTCACACATGCATTCACAAGAGAGTAGCATTCCAGCGGATAACATACAGTCGTTAAGCCCAAACCCAAAGCAGGAAGTGCTGACTGAAATAAAAAGGAGAGCAGTCTTAAGTGACTGTTCATCAAGGAAAGGCGCTGTTCCAAAGTTCATCGGACAGCATGGAAATTGTACATAAGAAGGCATCTTAGCGCGTAGACCTCGTCCCACGCCAAGATTTAGGTAAGATCGCACCTGTACGAGCCTGTTGAAGCCAGAGAGTGAGGAGCAGTGAGTGCCACAGTCAGCGTCATGTCTGAGGACACCAGCGTGGACAGATTCATAAAGGTAAGGCTGCTAAATAATAAGCTAAAGTCTGTAGTTATGTCTTTGCATTTTGGTAACGTAACTTCTTATAACATATGATTGGCCAGTGCAAGAGCATAATTCACCACGATAGCTGCGGCAACCTGCCCCATATACTTTGATCGTCGAAGGGGTGCACCCCTTATCCATCAGAAAGGTTAGAATGGATGAGACATCACATGAGGATGGGTCTTCTTCATTCCAGACTGCACACCAGTCAGAGAACGCAAACACCTTAAGTTAAGGTCATAGAGGCATCTCATAGACGGGGCTCTAGCCTCCATAATGGTGTTAGTTACCCTCGCAGAGAGCTGACTCTCATCGAGGGACCAAACATGAAGATTCCACAACTCAGGCCGGGAATACCAGATCATGTCTCTTACTTGGGAGAGGAGATCCTCAGTGGGATTGGCCAAGGGGATGCCGACAGCAGCAAAATCAACTCGGGGAACCACATCTGGTTCCTCCAGAGTGGAGCCACCAGGAGAGCCAAGCATCCGACCTCCCTAACTCACCTGATGACCTGAGAAAGCAAGGCAATCGGAGGGAAGACATATAGGTGAGCGCTGGACCAATCATGGGCCAGAGCATCTCGCTCCTTCGAGAAATAAGTTGGGCAATGAGAATTGTCTTCTAAGGTGAAGAAGTCCATCTCTGCCCTCTCAAAGTCCAACCAAATCATCAAATCAACCAACCACTTGAGGGTGCAGTCTCCATCCTCCTGGAGATACATTGCCCCGGGACAGCATGTCCAGTTCTTGGTTCAGTCTGCCTGGCATCTGAGTTGCCCTGAGTGAACGCAGGTTGTAATGTGCCCATAGAAGGAGGTGTCTCACCATCCTGTAGAGGGAGCGTGACCTGAGACCGCCGATTTATAAAGGCCACCACCATCGTGTTGCCCGAACAGACAAGGATGCGGTGCCCCTTCAAAGCTGGTAGGAAGGTTTTTAGGGTCAGAAAAACCACCATCATCTCAAGGCAGTTAATGTGCCGGGGCTCTTCAGGCTTCTTCGTTCTTCTTCCAGTGAGAAAATGATCTTTGCACTGAAGGAGAAAATTCAATGATGATGTATATAGGCAGTTGGCTCCGCTCGGTTTGGCTGGCTGAAATACCATTTGTTCGTGCAGCTACAGGAATGAGAACAGATCAGGCTTCAGTATTAAGAGTAAACAGGAGTTTCCCCAAAACGTTTCCCTGTGGTTTTCCTTGTTTTGCCTTTATCATTATCATTTGTAAGGGCCTTAGTTTAGTTTAGTTTAGTTTAGTGGTATTACACAGTGGTATTACCCCACTCAGAATATTTAAATATACAGAATGCAAGTCTAAAAGCACTTAATCAATTGGCTTTAAGTAAATAATATTTTTTACATTAATTTAAACAAATGCAGTATGAGCATTTAAAATAGCAACAAGACCATTGAATGCTAAATTCAGTACAATGGCAGTACATTTGACTACATTGTAATTTACTCTTTCACTTCCAATTCAATTTATTGAAGTCGCAAGTCTGACTTTTCCCATTAAATAGATGTTCTTTCTACTACATATTGTGTTGTTGATTTGTACATCATAACTCTTTGAAAACTGCTAGTTAGGGACTCTGCTGTGGCTGTTGCCTTTTAGGTATGCATTAAAGCCTTTTCAGTTTTATGCATCTCATGATGCTCGCTGCAGAAACTAACAATGTCAAAACAGGCAAAGTAATTAATTTCATGTATAATAATTATTCATGCTGTTTAAAAGACATGCCGATGAATGAGTGAATTGAATGAACTGTTCCCAAACACTGTATGTTCTTGTCACAGGAGACATCCATCCTGGAAGAGTATAACATCAATTGGACACAGAAGCTGGGAGCTGGGATCAGTGGTCCTGTGAGGTATGTTGTTATGTCCAGTTTGAAGGGTATATTGAAAGGTCATTTTTGCATAAAAAATATTTTAAATAAAAATGACATTCAGCTTTAAATCTCCACTAGCAGAAGTAGCTAATAGCCTATTTCCAGCTGTAGGAATGAATCTCTGAGGAAATATTTTTGAATCCTTTCTTAAGCACCAGAACAAAAATCAACTACAAACATTGGGGAAAACATGTTGGACGTATCAAGGAATTATTTTGGATTAATCTGTCTAGCATGTTAATTTCTCTATCATAATTGTATTGCATTGCTTAATATTTTTTGAAACTACAGAGATTTGATCATAAAGCTAAGCATTTAAATATTATCTTTCCAAAACATCATTGGGAAATATACTGATATTTTCTGAAATTTATTTCATTATTATGTAAGTAGTCTGATATACTGTTATAAAATCTCATTGATTTACATTACAAGCTATTAGAATTAATTTTTGGTCATATCAGCATCTGCACCAGATTACACATTTTTGCTCAGTTTGGGCCTCTGAATAAAACCGAAGTGTTTTTTCCTCCATATTCTCACTATATCAAACTATATGAGCAATAAAAGCCTGATGTATCAAATATGACACTCAACAAATACACACATTCAAACTTAATAAACCGTTCAATAAACTGTTACATTAAAACGATAGATATTCAGGCTTTACAGAGTTAAGATGTTAACTGGATTCATCAGTTGGCTATTTACTAAAAGCCAATTGATGCAGTGCATTCATATTGTTTTTTTTCCTCCAGGGTATGTGTGAAGAAGTCGACACAAGAACGGTTTGCCCTGAAAATCTTGATTGACAGACCCAAAGCCCGCAATGAGGTAGGTAGTGTGTGCCGTGTACATGGTTTAGTTTCTTTTATTTGAAGGGCATCTCTTTTATTTGGTGTTAATAAGTTGAAATGTCAAACTTTACAGAACATCTCCAAGTGCAACTTTAAATTCTCTCCTGTGATTTTTATTTGCAGGTTAGGCTTCATATGATGTGTGCATCTCACCCCAACATTGTGAAAATAATGGAGGTGTATGCCAACAGTGTACAGTTTCCCCATGAATCCAGTCCAAGGTAGTGGAGTTCAACAGCATCAGCGCACACAACACAGGATGGCTGTACGATCAATCGAAAAGAAATCGAAACTGAAATTCATAACCTCTAATCGACGTAATTTTCCCATGTCGTTTATTTCAGTTTTTTAATCCTGTTAATTAGGGCTGAACGATTAATTGCATTTGCGATAATATCGCGATATGAAAAATTTAGATTTTTTTTCAATCGCAGAGGCTGCGATTACACGGTCACATGACACGCGAGAGTGAAGAGGTGTGTTCGACTTGAAGATCAGATCGGTGTATGACATCAAAGTACAGTGAGCGAGAGAAAGCATAAGGAGACGTCCGCGCTCTCTTATAGCGCTTGCAGTACTTTGATTACACACACCCATCGGTCTAAGCAGCGCTGCTTCAAGTCGAGCGCGGGCCACCAGCAGAAAAATAAAAAAATCAGTAAACAGCCAAAGGACATAACTTAGAATGGGAGATGGATCGGTTTGTGAAAGCGAAGAGAAAAGCGATAGATGAAGTCGCACAGATCCTGGCAGGTGCTGGTCATTTAAAAGCTAAATACAGAAAATATGATGAGGCATATCTTGCTCTCGGCTTCACTCACTGTGTGTATACCGCACGCTACAGTTGACGCATCGCGCCGCAACAGCTCTACACTGGACAAAGCGACCGTTGCAAATCATTTTAACTTTGTGTCAGTACTAGGGTTGCCAACCGTTCCGTATAATACGGAATCATCCCGTATCAAAGAAGCGTTCCGTATAGCTTTAATTGTCCGTATAGCAGTTTGTCCCGTATTTAAGGCATATGCTGTATGACCATCTAGACCATACGAATAACAAACTCTAAATTGAGAATTAATCATTCTTTTTTGACAAGTGTTTGATTTGTGAACAGGAAGGCTTTAAGACCAAGCGGAATCCTCTGCCGGCTGGTCGCTCCCGCTTCACAGCGAACGGGATTTGCGCTAATGGAGTTTGGAGTCTTTAATGTATACCTAGATAAAACTATTTACATTTAATGGATGTAGGGTGAGAAATAGTATAAGGTTATTGCACAATGGGAGAACATTTAACTGTTCATGAGGTAGATTGCCTATAGCCTATATACTGCCGTTCAAAAGTTTGGGATCAGTAATATTTTTAATGTGTGTGTATTTATTTTTTTAAGAAGTTTCTTATGCTCTTCAAGCCTGCGCAAGGATGTGTTAAATGGACAAAAAAAGTGATATTGTTAGAAAATATTTATATTTTGAATAAATTCTGTTATTTTTAACTTTTAATTTTATTTATGGAACACAGGTTCCAAAAAAATATTAAGCAGCACAAGTTAGCTGATAATAAATCAGCATAAGAATGATTTCTAAAGGATCATGTGACACTGAGGACTGGAGTAATGATGCTGAAAATTCAGTGCTGCGTCACAGAAATAAATTATATATTAAAGTATAATAAGGTAGGAAACCAATATTAGAAATTGCAATAATATTTAACAATATTACAGTTTTTTTTCTGTAGTTTTGATCAAATAAATACAGCCTTGATGAGATAAGAGACTCCATAAAAAATTTAAAAAAAAAAAACATTATATAAAAGAGATATATATCAGATATCATAATAGGCCTGTGTGTGTGTCCCTTATTTTTCTATGAAAAACCACGATTGTCCCTTATTTTCCTTTTCTGAAGTTGGCAACCCTAGTCAGTGAATGTTAAATAAAACAAGGCATCAGTTTAATGTCGCGCCGCATCCAGTGTACACAGCATCACTGATTATAATGGTTCTACTGTATTTTGCTGCTCGCATCCGGTGTAGACACGGTGTTTAATGTCGTTGGTGAGGAGGAAAGCCTGTGTGTCCTAAGCCTTAGCGGACAGCAAGAAAGCCGCAAAAAATAAATAAATAACAGAGAGAATAATAAGAAGGTATTCTCTCTATGCTATTTTTCAATGTTTCAAGTGATGCAGGTGTTTTTTCTCCCTGTAGGTTTTTTAAATAAAAAAATTATTTGGTAGTCTGAGGGGGGCGCAACCAAAAAACCACTGGTCTAAAGTTAACAGACAGTGTTTAAAAAGTGCAGGGCACATGTTTTCATATGTTTATTACAGTGACTGTAAATTACCTAAAGTAGTGTGGTAAAGCAACAGATTTGTTTTTATATTTCTGCAATCTACTTTAGTTTGTGTGATTTTGTCACTGACTTTCATATTAATGTTTACACCAGGCTTATTTGTTAGTGCTTTATGTTGTCATAATTATTACATGCTTACAAGGTTGGAAGTTCAACAAATCAGTCAATATACTGTGATTGTAGTTGTTAAATAAAAATGTAATTCATATCAATTCATGCATCACTTAATTTCATCGTAACATATAGGCCTTGCCTACAGAAAATAACATTTATGTTTAATCTATCTAATAGTGTGTTGTTCATACTATACAATGATTTATAGCTTGTCTTTGTTGAATAATACAGAACATAAAGAGCTTTCAAAAAAATAATTGCATATTAAATCGCAATCGCAATATTGGTAAAAAAAAATCCCAATTAGATTATTTTCCAAAATCGTTCAGCTCTACTGTTAATACTTTCCCCTTAAAAACATACTACCGTGTCGGTGCTATACGGATGTGTATGACCGTTGCGTTCGCGTGTTTTGCTTTTGCTTTGCGTCTCGCACGTGAGTGGCACGTTAAAAGAATTTAAACTTTTACACGCAGCGCCACTCTTCAATTTCAGTTCCAAAACAGTGGCCAATCAGAAGATCCTGCAGGCGGGGCAAGCGTTGCGAGCTTTTGTTTACAGTAGCAGGTTGATATAACACAACGTAGTAGGCATTCTGCGCTGCGCTTTTTTTAAACCAGTCCTGAGCACTGCGTCTCGTGGTTTTAGACACGAAGACGTGTTGAAAGTTAAATGAATAAAATGAAAATGAAAGTTACTTTCTATTTTATTTTATTTTTTGTAGGAAACTTGCTTTTTACAATAAAACTGAAATGTGACGACTTCATTTCAAGCAAGCTTTTTCGAATTGTTCGAAATATTCAACAAATAACCATAAATAGTTTGTTTCCTTCAATTATTTTAAAATCACAAAGATAAGAAATGCACTCTTTCATTAGAAAAAAAATTCTCACATTTAATAGTGGAGTATTTTTACACTAACAACCCTTTAATGAACGATGAGGGCAAAAAAAATAATTGTTAAATAATCGTAATCGAGGTAAAGTGTTCAATTAATCGAGGTTTTGATTTTAGGTAAAATCGCCCAGCCCTACAACACAGTGTTTCCTACACGTACAGTACAAGAAAATGTTTGCTAATGCTCTAACTATCTAAAAATATAAATACACTTTGCTGTTTTCTGTGCTTCTCTCTGATAGGGCAAGGTTACTGATTGTGATGGAAATGATGGAAGGTGGCGAGTTGTTCCACAGAATCAGCCAGCACAAGCACTTTACAGAGAAGATGGCCAGCCAGGTCACTAAACAGGTACAGTCTTTACAGTTAAAGGCCATACTGTTGAGGTAGCTCAGGTCTGGAGAGAAGGCAGACTTTTGTCCGGAGGTAATACATAATATTTTTGGTGATGGAATTGACTGCTCTTTTCCTACAGTATGTTTTGGTAACATAGCAGCTCATTTGATGGTGAAAGAGTATCTGTTAAAAATACTATTAGGAGCGGTTACAGTCCAAACCTCCAGCAAAGCCTGATTGGTTGGATATTTGAGACCAATGTCTAGGGCTGGGTGATAAATGATATCATATATTGAGATTGTGATCAAATTTATGTTAAGAACGATGATACGTTCTGAACATTTTTACTCAATATGGATTAATCACACAGCAGAAATAAAGGTGACAGCAGCCAGTCAGTTGCATGCTGTTAATAGGTCTGCATGTTCTGTGTGTGTCTGTGTGAATTGTCAAACTCAAACACATGACACTCACAGTGATTTCTAGAGATGCACCGATCGATCGGCCAGGGATCGGAATCGGCCGATTTTCCTCATGATCGGCCCAGATCGGGGATCGGCCGGTCAGTCTCCCTTCTTTCCGATTTCAAGCCGATCCGTTTTGTTACCAGCGGCACAGGCAATAACATCAGCCACGCGTTCTCGCTCTCTTCTCTCCGACGACCCCTTCTCTCTCACACACGTCTCATTCGCTCCTGTTAAATAGTGCTTGTATTGCGCATTATTTTAGTCATTCCCGCAGGTTTCACGCTTATACCAAACGCGCGCGCACCACCACTGATCTATATTAGTGGAGCACACAATCCGCGCTCGGTCTCAAACAGCTTGTGAGCCACAAATACAAAAATAAGTGGCTAACTGCACTAAAACTTTCAAATACATACAAAATTATGTCAAAATGACCATTTTGGCGAGTATCCAGTTAAACACAGTCAGTTTTGGAGCGTTAAATAGTTGAGAAAGAGAACGCATGTTGTGTAACAGTATATTGGGTCCGTGGATAAACACTTAAAGGGACCGCAGTCCAATATTTATGCTGCTGTCTGTTAGGCTTGCCGCGATAGACGCTGCTGACGGTGATACCGGTGTTAAGCTGCAACAAGAAGAGTGGGGCGAGACAGACAAGACGATGGCGGATGATTTAGTTTCGAAACTAGATGCAAAGCGCCTGTTTGGCAATATTTTGGATTTTGAAAAGCCTGTTGACTTTTGCCGTTTATCTAAGGTGATTTTGGAAGTTTTTTTTAAACATTCGTTTCTTATTTAATTGGTTCCACATTGTTTGCTGATTTTTACTTTATTTAAACGGTGTCATTTATTTATTTTATTTGACATTCGTTTTGCTAATAAACGTTCTACATTTCGTATTTATTTGGTTATATATATTATACATGTTTACTTATTTCCAGTTTTGTATACCTATTAAACCTTATGTAAGTTATGTTATTTTACATTAGGCATAGCCTGCCCTATAGCATGGTGTATTTTTATTTGTTTTGTTAATAAAAGTTCTATGTTTTATATATAGGCTTGTTTTATATATAGGCTTAAGTGAGTTTGACGTTGTATTTTGTTGTTGCATTCAAGCAATTGATGTCGAGCTGCCGCTAATTCAAAAGTGAAAGTAAAATGCGCAAGGCGCTTTTAAGCTATTTAAAAGCAAAGGAAAGTGAGGAAAAGAGGGAAAATTCAAACAAACTAAAAACGAACAATTGCGTTACTCCGAATTGCCGCTAATTTAAGTGAAAGTAAAATGGGCACACCGCTTTTACAAGCTATTTAAAAGCGAAGGAAAGCGAGGAAAAGAGGGAACGTCCCGCCCCCGCGGTGATACCGGTATTGCCGGTGTTGTCACATGTCGATTAACTGTCACAACCCTACTGTCTGTCATGTTAATCAAAGAACAAAAGACAAAGAAAATAATTTTCTGCTCTTGACTGAATACGTTTTATAATTTTAATGCTAAGCATTAATCTGTATTTAATTTTTACAATGAAGACTACAGAAATTAAAGTAATCAAATGTAAAATAACATTGGATGTCAAGTCAAGTCACCTTTATTTATATAGCGCTTTTAACAATACAGATTGTGTCAAAGCAACTGAACAGCATTAATTAGGAAAATAGTGTCAATAATGCAAAATGACAATAGTAAACACTAATTTTTCAGTTAAAGACACTTCATCATTGAATTCAGTGATGTCAACATCCAGCTCAGTTTAAATAATATCTTTGCAATTATGTCAACGATATCGCTGGAAATGAAGTGTCCCCAACTAAGCAAGCCAGAGGCGACAGCGGCAAGGAACCAAAACTCCATCGGTGACAGAATGGAGAAAAAACCTTGGGAAAAACCAGGCTCAGTCGGGGGGCCAGTTCTCCTCTGACCAGACGAAACCAGCAGTTCAATTCCAGGCAGAAATTAGAAATTAAGTTTCTACAATATTGATGTGTTATTTTACATTTGATTACTTTAATTTCTGTAGTATTTCTTAACTGAATAAAAACTTACTTATCCTGAAAAACTTAGTTTCATAGCTCTCTTTATTCTATTGCATTTATTTGTGCTGTTGTTTGCCTTTTATTTTTTTATTTGTTATTATTTTATTACTGATTTTTACTTGTGTTTTTTTATGAAAATAAAACTTTGCGTTGAAGAAAAGTAGATTTTTGTTTGTATATGCTGCCAATTATAGTTCTTAGAAAGAAAATCGTAATCGGCAAAAATCGGTATCGGCAGATCACACTAACAAAAAATCGGGATCGGCCAAGAAAATGGCAATCGGTGCATCTCTAGTGATTTCAGCATCTGCATTTCAATATACACAGAATCCAGAAAAAATTTTATAGATGGGGAAGAAATTCAGAATTCAGGGCAAAATAAAATGTATTTCATAGGACCCTAAATTAAAAGGAGCTGCTCTGTGGAGTTTGTGAACTAACAAGTTAATATTAACATTCATTCTCAAGGTCTGACAAACAACAAACAAATGTGCAAAGCATTTCCTTCCCCATTAATGGTAATGGTAAATTAATTTCATGATAAATATCAGTATCATATTATGTGGAAAAAGTATCGCGATAGTATTTGGGAAATATCGCCCATCCCTATCAATGTCCATGGAGAGAATGACCTTATTAAATTTATGGATGAATAAATATGTGCAATGCTGGGAAAAATGGGTTGTGTTTACGACCTCATGACATGTTTATTGACCAATGTATGACTTGACATGTTTCCATCAATATAACTTACTTAGGGATGCACAGATGACCAAACGATTGTTCTTGTATGTTTTATGGGGTTTTTTCACCTATGCTGGTGATTTTATCTGTTAACAATGTAAATTATTTTTCATTATAAAATGAATGAGAGAGTAAACATGGAATGCTTGACACACATGACTAACTTTACAATAAAGTAAAACATGGGCCCTTTAAACAAGTACAGTGTTATTTTCAATTACATTGTTATAAGTAGTCTATTGTTTGTTAAAAATGTAACATTATAAACATCAAAACTTGTATATACATCAAGTAGTTTGAACTTCTGTCATTTTTACAGATAAGCCTTGCATTACAACACTGTCATTCATTAAATATTGCACATCGAGACCTGAAACCAGAAAACCTGCTCTTCAAGGACAATTCACTGGTGAGATCTGACACCTGAACAATATTCCATAAATTAATTGTATTTAATTGATTACATTTATCTGTTCTAAATGTACCTTAAATTAATACTTTAAGTTTTTAAAACTCTAATCAACATGGACATGGACAAATATGGATGCTTTATGCAAATGTATGTTTATTATTAGTAAAACCATTCTCGACATAGAGCATGAAGACTAGACATGTTTCAAAGGTCAGATGTTTTTCAAATAACTTGTTAATGTCTATTAGACAAATGAAAAAAAGAACATAGAAATATCAGGCTCCCGTTACTTCTTTCTTTGCACTGAGCAATTCACTTACACAAGCCTGTTTACACTATTCGCATGACAGGGCAGCTCACTTCTTCTGAACATGCAAAATGTACATTTATTATTTATTATTACATTTGTTTGCCTCTCTGTGCCCACATACTGTAATTTGATGCAGCCAAATTCTCAATAAAACTGTTTTCATTGTTATATTTTAATGTTTCTGTTGTCAGACAACCGAATTAATATGAAAATAGTGACTAAAACGCGACCCATTACATAACCAGCTCTCCCTTCCAAGATGTTAATCTGCACAAAAATCCTGATTTATAATCGAGCCGTCGTCTGATAAAATCAAATACACATAAGATAAAGACAGTAGCTGTTTCGGCTATACTTAAAATTAGAGAATAGGGATGTAACGATTAACCGCGAGCTGGTTGAAAATCGATTCAAATATGTGACGATTCAATTAGGGGTAGGAGTTTATATGAATGCATGTCTGAGGGGAACATACTGTCTTTAGAAAAGTTTAGATGGTATTTTTTCTTTTCATCTTGCCTCTGTATAATGTATATTAAAGTTCATAAGTGCAGCGCTGCTTTGATTACAGCAGAAACCAAGGAAACGCTTTAAGCGCCACCTGCTGGCAGAGAGTGAATCTGCGTCTCATTCAGCTCGTCTGCTGTTTCGGTTTCATGCAGATATTTTTATGTATAGTTTCACAAAACTGAAGTCAAACCATTCTGTTTTTGCTTCAAATTTAGAAATTATACAATGTAATTTAGATTTAAAAAATCCTCATGTTGCATGTATGCAGCATCTTTGTTTGGATAATGATTATTATTATTATGTTTAATGATTATTAAACATAATTATATCATTGTTTGGAAATGATTGCCTCTCATTTTAAATGGAAAGAGCACAAACAAAGCCTTATTTTGTTTATATGAAGATATTTCTTTTATTTGTGTTATTTATTTGATTTGGGGCTTGTTTTAAAATGTTAATTTAGTTTTATTTACATTTACATTATATTTAAATGTTGTTATTTAGCAGACGCTTTTATCCAAAGCAACTTACAAATGAGGACAATAGAAGCAATCAAAACCAACAAAAGAGCAACAAAATACAAGTGCTGTATTAGTATATTATTATAGTGTTATATTTAAATTTCACAAAGAAACAAGCAATAATAAAAGGACACATTTATTTATAATTTGTATTAAACCTCAATTTGTAAAAAAAAAAATCGTGATTCGAATCGTGAGTTGAGTGAATCGTTACATCCCTTTTAGAGAAGCAACATAATATCTGGTTTAACTAAAAGCGCTGCTCCTCTCAGCTGCTCACTGAAAAGAGCAGACGCACAACCTCGTGCTCGCGCGGCAGTACCGACGAGTCTCAGAAACTAAATAAGGTTTGTCCAATTATGTGTTATGTATTGTTGCTAGGCGCTTATTTGAAAAAAGTCTGAATCTAGCAACAATTCGCTAAAGTTGGCAACCCTCGGTGCGTTCCAAACGGGATATATCGCCCTCCGAAGGGCACTTCGGAGTGAAAACAATCATGGCCGCCATATTGAAGGGTCGTTCCAAACCGAAGTGCTCAAAACTGGCCACTTCAAAGGGCCCTTCGGAATGAAGGATTTCGAAGGGTACAACTGATGGACACTTCGGGCTCCCATGATCCTTTGCTCAGATTCTTTGCATGATGACTGCGCCTCTGTGTGGGCACGTGATAATGATGCAGAAGTGCACTTCAAGAAACAGTTGTTTGGTCCCCTACACCCTTCAACCCATCAAAGCTCTCACTCCGGAGGGTAAACCCTTTGAAGGGATTAGGGCATAGGGATGAGCCCTTCCAAATGGAATGCAGGGTCGGTCAGCATCTCCATTTCTCCAACTACGGGCTAGGCAACAGGTCAAACAGAAAATGCGTGCTGCGTTAATTGCGTGGTAATAAAATTTGTGTTCAAATTAGTTTGCGTTAACGCCTTAATTTTGACAGCCCTAATATATATATATATATATATATATATATATAATTATTTTTAAAGCCTTATTCCTTAAATATATTTCAACTTTAGAATCTTTCTAAATTAAGCAAATGTTATTCAGTAAGGACATATTTTGAATCGTGTTTCTTGTGTCTAACTGCCCCATTAGGATGCTCCTGTAAAACTGTGTGATTTTGGTTTTGCCAAAATCGACCAAGGTGATTTAATGACCCCACAGTTCACTCCGTACTATGTAGCACCGCAGGTAAGACCTTAGTGACTTTTTATAGATGTAAAAGTTGACTGTTCTTAATTCTTACTTTTAAAGGTGTCAAATCATGAAAAATCATTTTTCCTTGATCCTTTTTTTCCTTGATCCACATTTCCTTGTCTTGATAATAAAGGGACAAAATAGTGAAACTGAACTTTTAATCAATTTATTTAATAGATGTCTGAACTGAATAGTGCAAGGAAAAGCCAACAAGTGTCCATGGTCATGTTGTTTCATAGATTATTATCATTCTGGGACATAATTATGATAAAAATGAGTAAGCATGTCCAAACTTTTGACTGGTGATGTGATACGGCCCCTTCAAAACATAAATTGGTAATTTTTTCAGTGTTTTTTTCCCTCTTTTTGATGATGATGATAAATAAAAACATCCATCTTGCCAGCCACACATGAAATATTTGATCAGTCCGAAACTTTGTGACCTAATTGACAAATATGAACTAACTTTCTTCAATAGGTGCTGGAGGCACAGAGACGCCACCAGAAAGAAAAGTCTGGAATTATACCTACCTCACCCACACCTTACACATACAACAAGGTAAACTTTGCTACTCGGGGCCCTATTTTAACGATCTAAGCGAATGGTCTAAAGCTCACGGCGCAATTGCGCTTAGGGTGTGTCTCCGTTTGTTTAAATGAAGAGATTAATTTTATTTGTATTATTTATTTATTTATTTGATTTGGGATATATTTTCGATTTTTTTAGTTTTGTTATTTGACATTTCAATTTCACAGAGAAACATGCAGCAATTTGTCTGAGAAATAATAAAAGGACAACTTTTAATTTATAATTTGTCTTAAACCTAATTTTGTTTAAAAAAAAAAGTGAGAAAATCGTATCGTGAAATCAGTATTGTGAATCGTATCGCATTGTGAGTTGAGTGAATCATTACATCCCTAGTTTCACATTTTTCATTTTCAGCCTTGTCACAAGAATTGACTGAAGGTGTTAAGCTTGCTAGCTGTGAAGCCAATGCATTCATTCTTCTTTTTATTTTTTAGAGCTGTGACCTATGGTCCTTAGGGGTGATCGTCTATGTAATGCTCTGCGGATATCCTCCATTTTACTCCAAACACCACAGCCGTACCATCCCAAAAGATATGCGCAAAAAAATCATGACTGGCAGCTTTGACTTCCCAGAGGAGGAGTGGAGTCAAATATCTGAAATGGCCAAGGACATTGTCCGCAAGTGAGTGTCTTTCCATTTACTTCCTGTTTTATTAAAAATACTTCTTTACTTATTTGTGGCAAAGAACAGAGCATGCATAGACATGTATTGAATCTTTTACTCTTGTGGCTGGGAGTCTACGGCATCCCCTAGATCTGTATGGTAAAACGTTTTGAAATTTGGCAGAATAATTAAGGTGTTTTAAAATCGTTGTTGCCAATTTTGATGTCAATTGCTCAAATAATGAGGTCAAATTCTCAAAAAATGTAATGCGCACATCTGACAGGCAACAAAAACCTCAATGAGGGCGCTTAACTATTGTAAACAATAAAAAGAAGGAAAAGTTAGCACACCACAGCTCATTTCATGTTCTCACAATAGGTGACGTTTCGAGCCCTATGGCTCTTCATCAGACGGTTATGGCTTGAAGATATACAGCTGTGGCTGGAAACTAACAATATATATATATTTTTTTACCTATTAGATTGTTTTATTAATGTCTACACCTACCCCAACCCTAAACCTACCCTTTACAATAATGTTAAATCAGTAATTATTGTTGTACAGTGTGACAAAAATTAGGCTATATTGATGTGTGCATGCCCAGTAGTCGCAGCTGTATCCCTTCTAGCCTTAACCTCATCAGACTGATATGAAACTGTCACCTGTGGTGAGAACATGAAATAAACATTTTAGCATTTTTGGAGCTGTGGTTTGCCAACCTTTCATTCTTTTTATATGCTCAAATTCTCTAACGCCACTAGGAGTTTAGGATTTACATTGGACATTTATGCATTTAGCAGATGCTTTTATCCACAGTGACCATGATTGGCGACTATTAACCTACTTTAATCTATCTTGAAAAAATAATGAAGTAGCTATGTAAATTTAGTTAAACTGCTGCTCAATTTTAGTAGTGTAAACCAATGTTTTTGTTACTCAGATCTAACACATTTTGTTGCATTAAGGTTACTTAAAGTGAAGCCCGAGGAGAGACTAACCATAGAGGGAGTGTTAGCCCATCCCTGGCTCAACTGCACTGAAGCGCTGGACAATGTGCTTCCGTCTGCTCAAATGATGATGGACAAGGTGAGATCCAACGATAGACAACATTTAAAAGCTTAGTTGAGTAGTATCTGCCGATGTTTAAAGTGCCCCTATTATGGGTTATGAAAGGTTCATATTTTGGTTTTGGGAGTCCCCAACAGCAGGTTGACATGCATGCAAGGTCAAAAAACACTTTCATTGTCTTATAATATGCATTTATTTTTACCATTCTTGCTCAACGATTAATTTTTCCAAACCCCTCCTTTGCGTGACACTAATCTGCGGTGATTGGTCAATTTCATTTTCATTTCATCTTGCCTGTAATGCCTGATAAAGCAGCGTTTGTGAGCGCAGTGCTGCTTTGTGTACAGCGTTACCGGGGAAACAGCTATTTTTACTGCTCCAAAAGCGGCACCTAGTGGCAAAGAATTAATTTGCATTTTCATTGAGACCAATGTGAAAATCGACTGATGGTTTTATGCAGCAAACACGCAGAGCTGTAAATGTGAACCTGTATATATATCCCATGGAGGAAGCCCCGTCCCACGTCAGTGTTTGACGGAGGGGGGGGTTCAAGTTTTCCCAGGTCATTTTTAGTGTTTCAATGATTAAGAGTCGACTCTTTCTTTTGAGATAATAATTTTATACACGGTGCAATTTAAGATTTAAAACTTTTCAGGATGTTTTCATTCACTTAGAGCTGTGTTACACACTGCATGAAAGGTCATTTAAAAAAATCCATAATTGGGGCACTTTAATGCACTCTTTGCACATACAGTCCCCCTGGAGCAACATTTTCATTTTATTTTTAACTTTATTATTGGTACATTAAAATGTGGGAGGGAAAATGTATTGTTTAGTTGATTTTTAGCATCTTAACTTTAGCTGTGGTGTAAGTTGAAGCTAAATTATGTAACTTTCAGCCGCACCACACAGATACGTTGTTTTTGTTCAAATCAAAGCATTAATAAACATAGAAAACATATCCGTGTGGTGCGGCTTACACAAAAGAATATATGCTGTTTGCGTTCAGTGGATACTCTCCAAAATGGCGCTACGGTGACGCGGAGGAGACAAATTGTTGAATAAAGTATTTATTTTTGTTTTCTTTCTGTAAAAAAAGTATTCTCTTAGCTTCGTAAAATTACGGTTGAACCGCTGTTGTCACATGGATTATTTTACCGATCTCCTTGCTACGTTTCTGGACATTGATCGTGTTACTTGCATTACTGTCTATGGGAGGGTCAGAGAGCTCTCAGAATGCATCAAAAATATCTTAATTTGTGTTCCAAAGATGAACTGAGGTCTTACGGGTTTAGAAAGACATGAGGGTGAGTAATTAATGACAGAATTTTCATTTTGGGGTGGAGTAACCCTTTAAAGTAACAGCAGTCTTATATTCCTGCTATGTCATTCATGTTAATCAAACAACAAAAGAGAGAAAATTTCTCACTCCTCTTGACTAAATCACTTTTGTAATTTTAATAAGAAGAAATATATATTTAATTTACGCAGTGAAGAATATAGTGTTTTTAATTTTATAGATTTGATTATACAATGTATGTAGAATTTCTTATTTGTTCTACTGTAGTTTTTTTTTTTTGTCCTGTTGCTTGTAATTAGTTTCTTATTCTTTAATCACTAACTGTTTACTTGACTTAAGTGAGCTTGAGTATTTTATTTATTTATTTATTTTTAATTCTAGTTTTTTTTTTATATTGACAGTGGTGACAAGAATTATGAAATGTCTATCAAATTAGTATCAAAGATTTTGATATCATACAGACCTCATTTAAAGCAAAAATAACTATATTGTGATATTTATCGTTACCATGAAATAAAATTACTCGTATCGTGATATAAGATTTTAACTCGTTACTGGTATTTCCGATATATGAATTTGTTGTGCTAGGATTTCATATTTATTGTTTTTATAGTGCTTTATACAATACAGATTTTTTCAAATTAGCTTTATAGAAATAAACAGAAAAATACCAGTGTTAATGTTGAAAAAATTCATCAGTTTCAAAATTTTGATTTCAGAGGTTAAAACTTGAACTCAGAATCGACTCTTTGTACAAAGAAGCATGAATGATTTCTCCTCCCATCTGCTGTACTACCTTTCATACTATGTTGAATACTGTTGCTGTATATGCATAATCAATATATAAGTTATGTGTTGTTATATTGTTCAGGCAGTTGTGGCTGGAATCCAACAGGCCCATGCTGAACAACTGGCCAACATGAGGATACAGGACCTGAATCTCAGTCTAAAGCCGCTCAACTCGGTCAACAACCCCATTTTGAGAAAGAGAAAGCTACTTGGGTAAGTCTGTCATTTTTTGCTGTGTTCCTTTTCAGTTAATTGACATTATTCTGTGTCTTTATTAGCAGAATGCACTTATAGATCTGTGTTTGATTTGTGCCTCATGCAGCACCAAACCTAGCGATGAACTTTTCATCAATGATCCTGAGAATGAGACAGAGGACACCAACGTGGCTCTGGAAAAACTACGAGATGTAATCGCACAGTGCATCTTACCACAGGCTGGTACGTATGGACATGCATTGTTGGTTTGTGGTGTTTATAATCCACAGGTTATTCTTCAATAACTCAGGACTGAGACAGAAGATAATTGTTTGACACTGGTCATGATATTTTCCACAACAGTCCTCAAATCCAGAAATGTTTGCTTTGAATGTGTAGCTTTCATAAAAAAATTAAGAAACACAAGATTTAACAATTTGCAGTATCTTTGTGTTGTTTTTTACAGGTGACAATGAGGATGAGAAGCTAAATGAAGTTATGCATGAAGCGTGGCGATTCAATCGAGATTGCAAACTACTCCGAGATGGATTGCAAGGGTTAAGTTGGGATGGTACGTGTTTGTGTCTGTAGTTTATTTACTAGTAGCTAGGGCTGCACGATCAATCGCATGCGATATTTAACGTGCATCTTATCAGTAAAGCCGGTTCTTTAATCAGCGGTAAATCTCCATCACCTGCGGGCTTTCACATTGAGCAGCATGCGATTTATCGTGCAGCCCTACTGGTAGCTTTACTGTGGTTGAAGGTAGAATAACATCCAACTTTTTACTATAGACTAAATTTGGATGCCTGATTCTATGAATTTAAGGTGAGAGCTCATATCAAAAAGATTGAAGTTTGTCATTTGAATCAATGGATTTTTAATTACTAATAACATCAAATGGTATCCTAATGTTAGTATGTTGGTTATAAACAGTCAAGAGTATGTAAGGTCCACACCATTGGAAGGTCTCCAATGGTGGATGAAGGTTTCCTGCATGTCCGGTCTATTCGATGCGCAGTTATTTAATTTAAGTTCAATTGTAATCTGACTCCATTTTATTATGACCTCGCATTTGAGTTGCCAATTATTAGTGATCATTTATAGGGTAATTTATCTAAACATCTGATAATTCTATTTATTCTTTAATATTATTGTACTCGTTCATTCGGGTGCTCATGTCGCTCAAAGATATCACTTCGGCTGTTAGCGTATCTTACTGTCACATTCTCGTCAGTCTTGGTTATTAGAAAGAGGTAATTGACTAATACTTTAGATGGTCGCTCCTATGCTTGCTCATTCTAAAAGTACTTTTATTTAGCCTCCATAGATTTGTATACACTTGAATAAAGCGACATTATTTCTAGTTAGAGTTTACGACCACTACTATAGATATAAGCCGACCAACATTACTTTCCCTGATAGTAGCTTTGGTATGGTCATGGCATGTTTTCCCATTGTACACTTAGCTAGAATAATATTACAATAAACAGAGGTTAGGCTCACCCTATTTAGGCTGGTCGAACAACATGACCTCGCATTTGAGTTGCCAATTATTAGTGATCATTTATAGGGTAATTTATCTAAACATCTGATAATTCTATTTATTCTTTAATATTATTGTACTCGTTCATTCGGGTGCTCATGTCGCTCAAAGATATCACTTCGGCTGTTAGCGTATCTTACTGTCACATTCTCGTCAGTCTTGGTTATTAGAAAGAGGTAATTGACTAATACTTTAGATGGTCGCTCCTATGCTTGCTCATTCTAAAAGTACTTTTATTTAGCCTCCATAGATTTGTATACACTTGAATAAAGCGACATTATTTCTAGTTAGAGTTTACGACCACTACTATAGATATAAGCCGACCAACATTACTTTCCCTGATAGTAGCTTTGGTATGGTCATGGCATGTTTTCCCATTGTACACTTAGCTAGAATAATATTACAATAAACAGAGGTTAGGCTCACCCTATTTAGGCTGGTCGAACAACATCCAGTTGACCTAAACGGAAATTCCCTATAAGCCCTTACAATCTTAAGTACACTTGAACTAATACCAAGTGTTAACCGGATCTCTAAAGATAGTTATTGAATTTTAGTCCCTTACTAACCTGACGCAGGAAATACGGTAACAAGGATACAACGTAATCCACTAATAATTACAGAGAAAAACAGAATAAAATCAAATGTAACAATTTATTATCAGTCAGGTAAATATGTATTATGCCAATTCAAAGATTCATTAAAAGATGCATACCTGACCTTAGAAAATACATAGTATGGAGTGTAGAGACACACACCACACTACGGGCTTTCTGGCTATAGAATCGCCCTGATCTTCTTGCAAGATTTCCTTAAGTACTCGGCCCAAGACAAAACATCTCCCGAAATGGAAACAGGAACTAACCATTTGAATTTGTATTGATCAAGCCGAATTAACACCTTTTGGGACAGATGGTAATTTGCATGGAATGACACACCCTCTACAGTAATCAAAATATCTCTTAACTCTTAAGATCTGTATTATCTCTTAGTCAACTTTTGTAAGATTGAGACCATTGTACCACTCACCCTGAGACTATTCAAATGATACCAAACATGACTGTAAATATTACTTGTATTCATGTAGAACATTATACTATTGACCATTCTTCGTGAACCAAGTTGAGGGAGGATGGGTAAGGGGATGAAAAGGAACTGATGCATATGTGAGAGAGGCGTTTTCCCACATTTTCTCTCTGGGATGTGGAGACAGATGTTAATGCACTGTGTATTGTCCGTCTCAGAAGATAAATGTGTCTGAGGTTCTGCAAATCTTACAAGCAACATCAAAGAAATGTCAGAAAAAACACTGACCAGTGTTTTTGGTCAGAATGCTCTTGACCTTTTGATGACAGGATGGACAAAAAATAAGACTTAGGGTTCTGTTTACACGACAACGTATTCAGCCAAATACGGGAAACTTTTTATGCATTTTGCCTGTTCGTTTACACAACAACAGCATTTTGGGGACTGAAAACGGGTTTCAAAGTGCAAGTTTTTGAAAATGCCACGATTATCGTTTCCGTGTAAACACCCGAAACGGGAATCTTTGAAAACGGTGACGTCATGCGCGTGTGTAGTACGTGTTAGGTATGTAGACATGCGCAGTACGTGTCGATTTAAAAGGCAAGCGCGAACAAATATACACAACAATGGCGGAGTACATGGTACTGTTGTTGCTGCTCAACAGTTTGCTAACGCTTTTTCAGCAAAGTGTGAATTTACTTCAATATTACAACCACTGTTGCCAACTCTCGCAAGATAAATAAGCAACCGCAGCTTAAAAATCAAGCCCAATATTTTTTTTGATGATTTATCATCAATATTATTTATCATCAATTATTTATTACCAATAAATGAACATATTAAACTGAAACCACTCTTTTAGCTGAAAAGCAAAAACAGATATGTTATTTTACAAAAATCAGCAAACTGCAAAAAAGAGAGATGGAAAAGGAGAAAAACACAAGAGCTTCAAAGGGGAGCAGTAACATAGCCACATATGTAGCCTACTAAAATATAGGCTATATAGTTTTAGTATTAGTATAGGACTACTTGTTTTTTATTACAGCCCATGATAATTAATACATTACAAAAACATTGTAAAAATTTAAAAATAGGCTAAAAGAAAGTCATCCCACTCCTCTACATCTACTTCTATCATCGCTTGGATTACAGCGTCACGCGCCTTATTTTTGAATGTGATTTTCTCCAATGAGGGGGCGGAACATTTGGCAAATTAAGCTGCAGCACTTCTATTATTGCACTGGTTGGCTATTAACGGCGAGCAGACAGAGTGTCAACCAATGCATTGGAGAATACGGCGAACATAAAGAAACGAAGTTGCTTGTCAGATTTCCCTAACAAACAACCATATTTTTTAAAATAAGCCCAAAAAACTGCGACCCTGGATTTTTTCACGCAACTTTACAAAAAAAGAAGCCCATAGTCGCGTATAATACGTGGACTTGGCAACTATGATTACAACCAACAGCGGAGACGCATCATATACATCATATAACCGTCACTTCCCTACAAAGTGACAGCGCCAACTACTGGCCTGGCATACGTAATACAGCGTTTTTAGCCGTTTTCGCGGATATGTGTAAATGCGAATCGTTTTGAAAACGTTGTCGTGTATACGTGAAACTTTTTAAAAACGCAAGGGAAAAACTTTTCCGTTTTTTACTACATCGTTGTCGTGTAAACGTAGCCTAAAATTGCATTTCATGAAGGAAATACTAGTTGGTTCTGTGTAAATGAAATGTAGGATTAGTGCTTTAGTTCAAAATCTCAATTGCATTTTTTCTTTAAGCTTTTAAGTGCTTAAGATGCTGAATTGGTTATGAAGAAAGAGCTTGAAATGTATTAATTTTGAAAGTGAATAAAGACGAAAATGAGACAAATGCCTAACCAGTACGTGGCAGTAGCAGAAAGATTTGGTCAAGTCAAATGAAATGTGATGTAGACAAGTTGTTTTAAACTAACCCTGGAAAAGCACAAGCAGTAAGTATTACAAGCAGCTGTGTAGGCCATCCTTGACTAATTAATTGCATAATTTCGATCTGTAATAATTCATATAATATCAGCCGGTTATGTTTTTCTTTCTTCACAGGTAGATCATTTTCAGACAGAGTAGACCGCTTAAAGCTGGCTGAAATTGTCAAACAGGCCATTGAAGAAAAGACGAATTTACAGGACTCCCAATAGCAAGTGCTGACATTTTAATCCCTTTTGTACTGTTAATTATAATTGTCATTAGGCATATGATTGCAAAACATGTTTTTGTATAAAATTGCTGACCTTTTTCCATGGTCATACTGTAGTCTGTTGTAAATCTCTAGCTGAAACCAAGTTGTTGGTAAGATTTGTTTTCACTACAGACTGCAGTAAAGAAATGTGTTTTAAAGAAATTGCAATGTTTTTATTTCTGATTTTCATAATGAAAAATAGGGGGAAAATATCTATATTAGATAACATTTTATAATTCACCTTAGTTCAGTTCATTTAATTGAATCAAAACATGTCACTACTTAAAAAGAAGAAAATAAGATAGTTACGCATTAAAAAATATGGGACACTAAAATGATGTACAGTAATGCACAGATTGGAATGCAAAGTTTCATAAAGATGAATAAGTTGATTTGTTCAAAATTTTTACCTTTTGACTGTTAGGTGGCACTGCTAGCAAACTTATGTTGTATTATCAGAGGATGCTTACAGTGGCACATACAACATCTGTCAGGTCAATGAAGATCCAATGAACTTCATTATTCGAAAATAAAGTTATGTCATTCTGAATTTTTTTTAGAGGTCACACTCTTTGCAATGAATGGATTTGTGTTTGTAAATTCTGGGATAAAACTTTTTTTTTTTGTACTCCCAAATAGCAAATTCTCAGCAATTTCTCTCTGGTAAAGTGTTTAAGAACTTGTCATAACTAGAAAAATTCATCATAGAAATATCCTTGACTTAAAGGGTTAGTTCACCCAAAAATGAAAATTAGCCCATGAATTACTCACCCTCAAGTCATCCTAGGTGTATATGACTTTCTTATTTCAGACGAATCCAGTCGGAGTTATATTAAAAATTGTCTTTGATCTTCCAAGCTGTTTAATGGCACTCAGCGGGTGTTGCAGTGCATCAGTCCAAAAGAAGTGAAATAAAGCACATTCATCCATAATAAAAAGTGCCTCACGCAGCTCCGGGGGGGTGAACAAAGGCCTCCTGTAGCGAATCGATGCGTTTTTGTAAGAAAAATAACCATATTTAAAATGTAATAATCAATTTAATCTAGCTTGCGCTCACTGTTGTACACAGAAGCAGCTCCGGGAGGATGACGTAAGCTTGGAACAGCTTGGAAGATCAAAGACCATTTTTTATATAACTCCGATTGGATTCATCTGAAAGAAGAAAGTCATATAAGCCTAGGATAGCTTGAGGGTGAGTAAATAATGGGCTAATATTCATTTTTGGGGTGAACTATCCCTTTAAGATTTTATCAGTTTCGGTGACTTTTGTTCAACACTGGTAGGTACATCAAATTCTCACAGTGGAGCTGAAGTGTTTATGGTGGAGCCTTGACTACTCTTGGTTGCTATGACAGAATAACAATCTTATAGAAAGATACACTGTTGTTTCTCTGAAACTAACATGTGAACTAACTTAATTCTTTAGTTATTTAATACCGATTATTAGCTGGCATCAATTCTACAATACCTACTACAAATTAGAACTTGTATTACAAAATCAGTAAGCAGGAGATGATTTCAAGTTAATGAAACTTCCACAGTTATAAGAGCTCTCTGCTAGCTGTGATGTGCTGTTTTAGCTATAATACAGTTGTGGTCAGAATTATTTGCCCCCTTGGTATGCGAGCAATGAAGGCTGTGAAAATAAATCGGTAATGTTCAATCAAAAAAAGAGTCTCCACTAAAAGAATATAGAATGCCCCTATAATTCAAATTATGAAAGCAAAACATATCCCTGTATGGGTTTTTGTTTTTTATATTTATAAAATATGATATAGTTCACAACAATATTTCCCATTTCCCAAAAATTGCCTTTTTCCGGCATGATGGCAAATGTTATATTGGGTTTTTGTTTAGCCAACAAAAATAGTTCCAAACAAAGTCGGAGCAGAACATTTGCACGTCTCAGAGCAACAGTGCGGTGTTTCATTCCTGAATGAATCTGTTTTTAAACAAATCATTTGAATCAATGATTCAATGATCCATTCTTTTCTAAGCCCTTTTCAACAAATTGTTTGAATGAGTGATTCAGTGAGTCCCTCATTAAAGCAGGAACCTGCCACCACCTACTGGCGGTTTTAGTGTCATATTTAAAGTATTTATCCATTGGCAGGCCTAAACCAGCCAAAGTATCAGCACAAAAACACACTCAAGATATTTTTTAGTTACCGTTATCGGAAAAAAATCCCAAAAGTATTGTGATATCTTTTTTGTTTTGTTTTTTTGTCAATATAGTACCCATACATGTCACCTATTACAGCATTTAAAGCCATGAAAGTTATTTTGTAGGTTGAAGTTTCGGAGTATATAAACATTTTTATCATGGGACAACTAAGTTCACGACCAAGAAAAGCCATTGAAATGGAGTGTGTACACGAACCTTGTATACTACTCAAATACTCCACCAACACAGCGGAGAAACATCCTCATCGGTCTAATGAGTTGGGCTTGGTAAGATTGATGGAGGGAGAGAGGAGAAGAAGAACCAGAAGAGCTTCTGGAGAAGGACCGATCTCCACTTTCTTCACCCAGAGCTGCTAAATCTGGTTTAGGCTGAGAAGGAGAACCAGAGTGCATCAACAGTGTTAGGGGTAATGCATTACAAGTAACACAAGATATATAATCAGAATGCTTTTTTCAATTAATAAAGTAAAACATAACTTTTTAATTTACAAGAAAATAAGTTACTTTTTCAAATGAGTACCACCAGTTACTTTGTTTTCCCCTTTACTGACTGAAAAGGGGAAAACGGAAGTAAGAAATCGGAAGCACGTTGTGTTAGCGGTGTAAACATGATGGTTACTGTACTGTTCTAGACTAAAGGTGAACATGCATTTACTAATCTCGCTTGGACAAAAACAGATTCAGTATTCCTCAAAATGAATAAAACCGATGGAATGCAAACTTAGAATATGATGCAAACCTTTTAATAATTCAATGTTAAATAACACAAATACCCTTTATGTATTTAGTCCCATTTTATTAGCAGTGTCTTTGCTGCAGACCTTCTAAAATCCAATTCAACCATACTAAGCAAAAAATGACTTTAGATAAACATACCATTTTTTTGTCAAAAAATATCACTTTTTATATTAAAAACAAACCAAGCAAGCCCAACCCAGATGAGGAAAAAAGGTGACGCAAAAGTAATGTAATGCATTACTTTCTATAAAAAGTAACTATCAGTTACTTTTTAGGGACAAAAGCGATATTGTAATGCATTACTTTTAGAAGTAACTTTTCCCCAACACTGCACATCAACATGTCATGAAATAACTGTCTCAAATACTGCCATTATCACACCCAAGTATTTTATTAGTGACAGTTTAAAGATCAGAAATGAAATCAATTTGAAGATTTTTGATCACCGCAAGATTTGAGAGTAACTTTTATTAGGCGTCATTACCGAACCGGTCAGTATGTGAGAATTTAAATTCAGAAACAAATCAAATTGGATTGTTTAAAAAAAAAAGTTCAAAGTTCTTAAGTTCGTAAATAAAGAAACACTCCGATTTGAGGATATGGTATTTTATCAATGTTATTTATTTATTTGATTTGATTCATAAAAGTCCTCCCTGCTGCTGAGGAACAGCATGGAGCAGGATGTCCTGGACAGGAGTAAGAATACGAAGTTCTTAAGAATTAGAAAATGTTATTTTGAATTATAAATGTAAAAAATATGTAAAACTGTATTTCATACTAGCTACCACTGTTTCTTTTCAATAGGCCACATTCTGAGGCATAATTAAATCAGCCATAAATCAGGACACCATGGAGGTCAAACTGATTGACTTTGGTTGCAGTGCGCTCATAAAGAAATCACACTTTAAAGATTTCTCTAGTATGTGTTACAAACCACTGTTAATTAGCTAGCAGAAATGCTTCCTATGCTGTGGAACTGAATTAAACATCAGACAACATATCTTTTCTTTACGCACAAGAACATACTGTCTTCCAGAGTACAAAATCAGTGGCAAGTACCTGCAAAGCCAGCGACAGCCCACAACCTGTACACTGCAAAAAATGCTTTTCTTTCTTAGATTTTTTGTCTTGTTTCCAGCCAAAATATCAAAAAAAGCTTAAATCAAGAAAGATTTTCTAGACAAGTAAGAAATTATTGTCTTGTTTTCAGAAAAAACTAGTGAAAATTAAGTGAGTTTTTGCTTGAAACAAGCAAAATAATCTGCCAGTGTGGTAAGCAAAATAATCTTTTCTGTTTGAAATAAGATTATTTTGCTCATTCATTAGATTTTAGTTGCAATAAACTCCCAGTTAAGCTCGCTAATTTTCATAAGCAAGCTCTGGACGCTTGTAAGCTTGCCTTCTGTCACCATTTTTCCCCTCATAGATGTATTCTATGAAATAATCAGAATGTGCTGCGTGGAAAAAAATCTGTCTTTATTAAAAACTGGGTTGACAAAGGTGTAATTTTTGTTTTAGATTTGTTAAAAAAGGATGGTAACTTCTATTACTATTCCGAATTTTCAGAAATCTTTGAAGTGGATACCTCACCTAGAGTGTATGAATGGGTTATTAATTCTATTTCACCTAAACTGTTACATTCGGTTAGGGCAAATTCTTACATAACTTCAAAATGTGAAATGCCAAAAAGTTTGTATTGGAGGTCTGGAGCTTTCTAATGTTAAATGTAACAATTTCTGTATTGATGGAAAAAATATTGACTTTGATGTAAGGGTTACTTCCTGTGTATTCTTTGAAGTTGACATTTTATGTGTAATTTTCCATTTAAGTAATTTTTTATTTTAATTTATTTATGATTTATAAAAAAAAAAAATTTATTTGTTTTTGTTCTGTTTATATTTCATTTTTATTATTCTTTATGTATTTATTGTTTTGTATTCTGGTTGTGTGTATTTTATTGCTATGACTGTATCCCCTGTGAATGTTATATCTTCAATAAAAATAAAAAGAATGTTTCATTCGCCGAGTCGGGATAAAAATGGCGAATTCAAACTGTGCCGAAACACGGAAGAGCGCCACGAGATCTTTAGTGGCCAAAAGAATATTGCATCCGTAGTGGTTTAGCACTACCATTGAGAATGAATGGGAAACGGTTTAGGGCCATTTAGCTTAAGTGAGTAAGTTTAATCCAGCAGGTGGCAGCACCGTTTCCACGTCAGCATTGGTGGTTCAGTGGTAGAATTCTCGCCTGCCACGCGGGAGGCCCGGGTTCGATTCCCGGCCAATGCAGATACACATTTTCAGTTTTTAAGCGTGAAAAATGTCAATCCCAATACAGCTGAGCTGCGTCCACACATTCAGCTCTACGACTAAACGAGACCACTGACAGCCAACGCCACCTGAACCAGCTGAATGAGAGAGACGTTACTGATATATATATCACATATGCTACATCTGATCCTGTCAGCGGCTTTTAGACCGATTATCCGCTTTTCCACTGTCGGGGCCAGCCGTGGATCATTGTAACTCACTAACAACCAATGAAATTGAAGCA